TAATAAATCTATGAGTTTTATTGTGCTATTTTAAGGCCCTTATTGGTCACTTTTTTAGGCTGAGAAGAAAAATCGATGTTTATCCTGTTAAAAGTCAACCAATCCCGACACGGACCCTCCCCTTCCCCCAATAAAAGGCAGGTTTGTCCGTTCCTATCTGCTGCAGAGGCGGTGATGTGGAGCCTCTTTGTGCTCCTGCTGGTGAGACTCTGCTCACTTCTTTTATGGCCACGAGACCCAGTCTGAGCTGCAGAACGCGCCTAATGAGGAGGTGCGGCGGAGACATGGCTTTTACCAGGCTCCAGAACTGCTCGTGACCTTCACCAAACATGACTCGTGTTTCTTTGTGTTTTGCACTTACTTTTTAATCATCCCATTATTAGTGCTGTCTGAGGATTGTGCTTTTCTATTTTAAATGAAAGGTGCTCTAACAAATGAGTAAAAAACGATGCTTGCATGTGACCTTTTGCCCTAATGTGTTYATTTCAGGATGATTCCTAGTTAAATTTGAATTATGTGCACACAAACCTAGCATTAAAGCAGCAAAAGGTTACATGTTGGTACATAAGGTTGAGCTACCTTTCTCAGTTTAAACTCACTTTGTTGTATCATGTCAGTGAGAGAAACATAAATTTACCTGAGTAGATTTGACCCCAAAGTTTAAAGAATTTTGTACTTTTTTGCATAAATTAAATAAGGAGTGCAATTTGATTAAATATTCATTCAGATGGAGATGTGTTACTATTCAGTTCCTCACTGCATGACTTAATTTTCTCGTTTCCAAGAAGACGAAAGTAAAACATGCAAAAATATTTTTATTTTCCTTTGTGACAAACATGCAAATAGGTTCTGAGAAATTCTGTGAATTCTACATGTACAGCACCAAAGTGTGATTCAAACAGAATAAAATTAGACCAACTGTATAGGCCGTTTTATAAGCTTGAGATATTAACTGATTTTGTTGCATAAAAGTTTGTTTTCTATTTAAATTAAATTACATTAAAAATAAATTGTTTCCGTTTGTGTCTGCCCACCAGGGACGTAAAGACTTGAAGACGGAGGATCAGAACTTGTTGAGGTATTGAGTTGTGCAAAGTGCAGCTTTATCACATCTCTTGTAACCTCAAGCCCATTGCAGACACTTCTGATTTCTACATGTTTAAAAAAATACACGTGAGTAAATATATGTAGGCTACGGCATATTGCTGTAATGTTGTCAGTCTTCCTGCCATGTTCCTCTTAGCTGGAAAATAATAAAATAATTACAGTTATAGAAAAATCTCACAGACAACTAAAAAAAAGCTTCATTCTGTTGGTCTGTGTTGAACATCACCCCTCCTGTTATCCCCTTTATGCAGTTGCCAGGTTAGATTAATCTACACTGTATTTGTAAACCCTTCACTTCCTCCTAAATAAAATTTCCCATGGCTCTCGGCTGCTTCCTGTTTAAAGTCTGTAATTTAAAAGCACAATAGTCATTCCTAGTGAAGCAGGTGCTTCTTATAATGCTTTTAATTCAGATGGGGCATAGTGGTTTAAAGAGACGTGGTAAACACCATCCCAGTTACAGATGAATATAATCTTTAAATAAGTGCTATAATGATAGTGATAAAGATTAAAGATGTGCTGCGATCTGTTTAATTCATCAACACCACCTAATATATAT